CTCTTCCAGAGAGAGGGGCAAGGCCCTTGGACCCTCACATACTCAGTTCCCCTGTATTGAATATATTTGTCAATTGGAAGTGATGGCCAAAAGAGGCACCGGACAAATCTGTCTTAATAATGGTACTTGTCTATAGGCTTTTGAAGGGACACTGGCCATAGATTAGGAAGAAGTGTCATCATGCTAATCCTTTCACTGTCTTAAGCTGTAAACCAGAGAAAGAAATCAATACGCTTGTGAATTTACAAACCCTATTGGTTATCTGCCACCTCTGCTGTTTATATCCATTGCCATACTGAATGATTTGGGTGACCTTCTCAGGCTGGAGTGCTTATGGATAGATGGCTAAAACCTAACTTGTCTAGATGTCTAAACACAAGTATGTCTCGTTCTCCAAGTTAGGAAGGTTGGGTTCATGGGTAGAGCACTGGGCTGGCAGTCTGGCCTGTCTCTAAATGTGCTCGTTCATGTTAATTAGAAAGTGTTGGTCTGCTCCATGTTCTAACTGGAGTGTTCCAGTGTTGCCTCGCCATCATGTGCATTAAGCCCCTGCGTGTTTTAAAATGGCTGTAGGGCTGCTTTATTTGCATCTCCTTGAATGAGCTTTAGATAAAGCATCCCACAACCATTTTGAAATGTGTGGGGGCTTAATACATATGACAGTGAGGCATTTTAATTGGAGCAGCCGTCCAGGAACTGCTCTAATTAAACACCCCCTTACCTCCAAGCATATGTATAGGCAGTCTATGGTTGTGGCTCAACCCCAGGGTTCCTGTGTGAGGTTGGCCAAGATCATGGGTGACTGGTGCCTCCTGAGTCTAGGGGGGCACCAGATTGCTGACGGGGGTCCCCCAGCGGCTGATTGCTGACCGGGGGGGGGGCCCCCAGGAGCCAATCACTGAGCCAGCAGGGAAACCGGTTTCGCAGGTGGTGCTTCCAGGGGGTGCACGTGCACCCGCATGCACCCCCTACATGTTGCCAATGGCCAAGATACTTTTATCTTCCCTCCATCTCCTCTGTTAGTATAAAGAAAATGGTTCTTTTCTGTCTTGCAAGGATGCTGTGAAGGTAAAATGTGCACATAATTGTAAGGCACTGTTATAGTGCGATAAGTAGGTGGCTAGATATGAAAACTTTGGCCATAATTTTCTAGTAAATGGCCAGTTGAAGAAAAGCAGTGAATGGGTCAAGCTCTGTTTCAGCCAAGTGAGGAAAAGGTAGGTTGGCAATTTTTAAAACTTTCCCCCTCTCTGCAAATAACTTGTACATGGTTATGTTGCCTCTACCTCCCTCCCCCTCTCACACACAAGAAGGTGGGCAAAAGGGTCAGTTTGGGCTGTCTGAAGTGGGAATTTTCATTCAAGTAGTAAATAAGGTCCTGCTCCTCTTACACTGGAGTTAATGATACTATGTTGGAGCCAGTCCTAAAATAGTGGCTTTTCTGACCCTGAGGGGGTCATGGTCCAATGGAAGAAACTGTGCATTGAAGGGGGAGAGTTTCTTTTGCCTGGTGCTGAACGGTGTCTGGGCTCTACTAGTTTAGGAAATGAAAAGACTTGGAGTTGCTCCCACATCTGAGCCCCTGCACCTCAGTAAATAAGCTCTGCTGCCTGGAAGCCAGCTGACTCACTTAGCTTATTTCCTTCGCGTATTTTGAGTTTCCTTAATGTTATCTTCCCATTTTTCAAACCGATTGTGTTAGTAAAGTCCTAAAAAAAGTCACCAACGATAGTGATTTTTTTTTTTTTTTTTTTCCAGATTTAATGTAGTTTACATTGCTTAATACGCTTGTGATTGCTCTACATTGAACTCTTCCCAAAGCAATTATTTCCTCCTTAAGGTAGGTGAACACTGCTGGATAAAGTACTCTAGGGGAAGTTTAACATCTTCACTTGATTTATAATGTATTGCTCCAATATTTACACCCTGGAATCTTGTTTGCTCCTTTGACTTTATCTTCCTTTGCTCAAGCTGCTTATTTAGCTAAAGGCTTTGGGCATTTTTTGAAGATAATTGTCTGAACATTTCCCCCCCATTCAAGTTGCTGCAAACCCTTTAATTTACCTGATTTTCATTCCTCTTTTGTTTTTTGCTTCCAGGTTTATTTTTTGACATTTTTTTCCTCACTGAGCCATTTGCCCAGTTAGATATAAGATATAATCTCTTTGTTTCTGTCTGAATGCTTCCTCATTAGTCAGTGTGGGTGTGAATGTTGTGTGTATCTGTAAATCTGTCATTCTGTTTATAAATCTAGCTGGAAAAACTTGACAGGAGTATGACTGTGGGCACAGGAACTGAACGTTTGTGCGATTTTGTTTTGTTTCCGATTTGTGTGTTGTTGTGAACTATGCACGTTGTGCATGTATAGAAGCATGCGTATCTATGACCTGAGAGGGCTGTATACCACGTATCTCTGGATGGGGGCGGGGAGATTTTTGGCAGATGTAAATTGGTGGAGCTCCACCAACTTCCATGAAGCTGTATTGAATCATACTGGCTGAAGAACTGAAACTTGATAAATTTCTGTTCCCAAATGATTGCTGATGTATTACTGGATGCATTTCTAAACATAGCTACAGAGCTAGCTACTCCATAGGGGAGCAGTACCATGGAAACAAAGAAGAAACATTATCTGCCTTCCAGATGCAGCACTGTATCTATTGAATTGAAATAGCTTCTTTCATGGGATAGCAATTCTACATGTTGCCTAGCATGTATGTGATCTTTGTGTCATGTGCGTGTTTAAAGAGGATAGGTCAGTGGTGGGCAAAATACAGCCCATGGGCTGGATCCAGCATGTGGTGGACTCCATTTCCCAGCAGACCCTGCAGCGCCGGCATCTGGCTGCTGCCCAGGCACCCCAGCCCGTCTGTCGCACACCCACTGCCAGAGGCAGGACCTGTGCAGGCAGCCTGCATCCATGTCCAAGAGCATCCACATTTTGTTTCCTTCTCTTGTTTTTAGGTCTCCTGTCCTTTATGGCACTATTACAGTCTATAAGAGCTGCCAATATATGACTCCTACAGCACTCATACCTGCATCATGGCACTTCTTCTGAGAAGCAACTTGATGTTCCTCTTAAGGTCTGTCTTGTGACCCTGTCGTTTACTATGGCATTTACATGGTTTTTAAATTTAGATGTGTTGGGTACAACCCTGATTGCATCGGTACTAGTGTAAATCTATTGACCTGCCAGCTGCTGCTGGTGCCAGGCTCTGGTGGGAAGTACCGGGTGGCCTGAGGGCCTTGTGCTGGGTAGTAGGGATGGGAGCACTCCACAGAGGGCAGAATCAGGCCCGGCCCCTAGGTGCAAGACTCCCAGGATGCTGGGCAGGTCCCACCAGTGCCCAGCACCAGCAGCAGCTGGCAAGATGTCTGGGTGGCCCCAGTGGCTTGTGCTGGGCAGTGGAGCTTGATCCTTCTTTCTGAGTTGCCAGCCTGCCTGGGAAGGAGCAGGAAAAAACCTTTTGGGGCAGAGACCAGGATAGGGGGCTTTGTTCCCCTCCCCCCTGTGAATTGGTGACTTGCACTGACCCAGCCATGCACAGGTGGAGGTGGGGGGGACACCTGAATAAATGCAGCACTGCCTTACTAAACACCACCTAATCAGCCTACCTCCCTTCGCTGCATTTTCCAGAAAAGGGGGATTGACTCTTCAGCATGATGTAGAGCTTGGGGACTGCACACCTGGGTGAGCTGAGCAGGCGTCAGCTCCAATGCAGCACAGCTGTGTCAGAGCTGAGCAGGGATTTAACCCTTGTCTGCTGGAGCTCAAGGAAAGCCCCCTCATCTGGAAATGGACTATTGGTAAAAGTTTATTCAGGGTTGGAGACAATTTCTGGGGGTGTACACTGGCATTGTGTCATTTGCATGATGATGGCAGTTCGAGGTGCCAGTCGTGCACTGCGGGGGCTCTCCACCTACGCATAATATAAAAACAATCCCTGCCCTGAAGAGTTAATAATCTAATTGGACAAGACAGGTGAGGGAAGATGAGGGGGATGAAGTGTGAGGTGCCCTGTTCCCAGGTGCAGTTAGTGGCTGAACCTGCAACACAAGCAGGCTCTTCTCTTGTGACTTCCTGGACAATGCTCTGTCCCCTAGACAGGCTCCCGCTCAGCACGGGGGCTTTGAAAGAGTTTCTCCTCGGAAGACCTGATCCTTGGATTTCTAACTGCCTCACAGGTAACTTGGTTTCTGGATGACAGATTTGAATTGGGACAAATTTGATCATTTAGTATTTGGGTTAATATCCACAAACTCGACTTTGTTTCGCTCCTGCTCATTCTGTGGGCACGGTGTCTTAGTTAACAGTGTGTATTTGTGCACCTGCTAAAAATGTGTCTGTACAGGAAACCCTTGCTCTTCGTGGGTTCGGCATTTGCAGTTTCAAATGTTTGCGAATGCTGAACCTGCATTTTAAACACTTACAGGAGCTCCCGCCATCACTGTTGGCGCTGTGTGGTCCCCCCCAGCCTCCGGGGGCATTGAGTTCATGAATTCAGGTGGCGTTTATGAATGCAGTGCCTTAGTTACAGATTTCACCATTCTCGGGGGATATGAGAACGTATCCCCCACGAATGGCGAGGGTCGCCTGTATTTAGGGTTGTGATCAGAAGTGAAGGTGTTTTCACTTACTGGCCAGAAGCACTAGTCTGTGAGCTTAGTCACAGGTCATGCCTGTCCCCCCACCTCTCTCTCCTGAGGGATGAAAAATGACTTGTATCTGCAGATGCGCATGGCTTCTGAGATGAGGATGAGTGAACTGGGCGTATTTGGTCAGCAAAACAGAAGACTGAGGGGGGATTTGATAGCAGCCTTTTATGAGCAGTTGGTTTCACTTCCTAACTGTGTCAGATCAGTATGCTGTTGCATGTGCCGGGCTCCAATACACCATTCATTATAATGCTGGCTTCTAACGCTTCATTCATTTGAAGCATTTATATTAGAATATAGTGAAGGTGTTGCCCCAGCTTTAATGAGGCCTGAGAGGCGGGACTTATTGGTATGCACATGTTACAGAAGAGACCAGTGGATGTCAGCGAGGTTAAAGATGATGAGCTCTTCATTGCATTCGCCTGAGTTTATTCCAATAAAAATATTAGTCCCATTTGTGTGAGCCCTGAGATCTAGACCCACAACCTTATTTCTCTGCTGTGCTTCTAGGTTCAGCGTGAGAATGCTACTGGATCAAACATAAATGCACCTGCCCAGGGGAATGGCTCTTCCATACGAATCCAACCCAGCTTATTAGCTGCGTTGCAGCTGCATTTATAAATCAGGTGCCTGATGCTTCACCAAGACGCGAGAACAAATTTTGCTTACATAGCATCCAATTAAGGATGTGCATAAGGACTAAAGGGAAGCAAGGGTGATTAAACAAGGGGAGTCCAGAAAGGAGGAGGATTTTGAGGCACCTGTGGTGGACATTTCCATTTTATAATTGTGTACTTGAATGGTGACATTCAAATGAGTCCAGTGACTGTTGCTGGGTGAATGCTTTCCTCATCACACATTGACACAGCTATAAAAATACTTTGTGGCTTTTTTTTGCTTTGTTCTAAATTACGTTTTTGCACTTTTTTTTAGCTCGTAAATAATGCCTTGGAATTTTGGAAGTGCAATATAGATTATGTGTCTAATTTAGTCAGCTTGCCCAGAGATGCCTGAGGTAATTAGAGTGGGAAATTCAATTTTTTAGCCTAGATTCAGAAAGGATTATACTGCCAGGTTCACAATGGGACTCTGGCTGTCATTGTGGAAATAAAAGAACATTTGATCTACCTGCTGGGGCCACTTCATGTGGGCCTGAAGCTGGAGGTACACTTTGTTTTGCTTTTCTGGATCAGCCAGGACATGCACTGCAATATCAGTGTTTTGTTTTTCAGTATAGGTTTTAGGGTAAATTTTGAAATTTTCTGTTAACCAGAAGGGTTGAACACCACCACATGCTTGTAAATGCAGGATTTGGGGCAGCAATCTGTTTGGGTAAGCCATGTATTTTTGCCAGTTAGCACTTGGGTTGGATTTCATTTTATCTGCTGTTTTTTCCACCTTTCCATTTTGGGCTGGATTCTGGTGTATTGAATGGCTATTTACATCGCACAAGATTCTGTTTGTCACCTGAAGTAAGGTACTATGACACGCAACCAAGGGTGACAGGTCTTGATGTGTTTGTATTCGAGTAGCATCTCATGCTATGTAGTCTTGCTGGTTTCCATGACTAGGCTGAGTACGGGAATTGAGCCCCCTGTAAACTGGGAAAATGAAAGACAAGGAGACCTCCATTTGTGACAATGCTGTTAAATGGATGATTTCTTCAGCTCTCATGCATTGGAGATTTCAAAATGCCTTGATCTGTCAGCAGTTCCTCTAATCCTTAGCCTCTCTCTGCTTTTCACTGGGACCTCCCTTTCTCAAAGACCTTTCTTCTTATCTAAGCTGCATCCTTTTGAGAATCAAAATGTCATTTAAAAAAATATATAGTCATCAACTGTGGCTTCCTTATACTGTGTATGGGAAGTAGCTTGCAATAATTCTCATGCAGTGCATTGAAAATTCACTTTTGACTCTATTTTTTCAAGTAAGTAAAGATTTTGGCCAAATAACTTGGGGTACCTGTGGATCTTTGCACTGGCCCTCTAAAAATTAGGAGGTCTCAAAATGGCATCCCAAGATCAAGGGACCAGAAAACACAAGTAACATGAAAATGTAAGCCCCTACCTTTTAAAACCGTCCCACATTCAGAGCTTGGTGGGTTGTATTTCTCAGAATATAAATGTGCAGACTTCCTTCCTAGTCTTTCACTCTAGTTCCAGAAAGAGAATATTGGCAAAAAATAGAGAGGTAGTTATCGGTATGTCTCCGAGAGGGCTGGGCAATTAGTTCAGATGGAGGGCTGCTTAATGAATTTTGGAGGCCTGCCGATGGCCACAAGGGTAGTCCTGCCCTTTAATGGGTGCCCTGCCCCCTGGTCACCAACCTTGGGACCAGAAGTCCCACCTCTAACCCTTGTTCTTTGCCACTTGAAGTCCCTCCCTTTACCCCAGAAGTACTCCTCTTGGGATGGAGGGTGCAGCTATCTTGAAACTGAGCCCCCACCCCCCATTATATGCTAAAAAATAAAACATCTGCTATCACTTGTTTTAATTTTATTTAAACTATTTTTGTCCTGATTTATGTATACTTGCAATTGCTTCTAGATACACTATGCATAATAGTTCAAAATACAGTCCTCCACTTGTATATTGTGTGTGGGCAGTAAGGGGGTGTGGGTGTGTGCGTTGGGGGTGTGTGGGGTATGTAGTTGGGGTGGGGGCTGTGGGAGGGTGTGGGGTTATGGTGGGTGGGATGGGAGAGAGACAGTGGGCTGAGCTGCTGACTCCATCATCTGTGGCTCTCACAGACTGCATGTGAACCTCATATGATGCAGCCAGACGGACCCTGCACCCAGGCTCCACAGTCCTGCCACCCTACCCTGGGTCCCTGCCAGCCCCAGGGCACTGGCACGGGCTCTGCACTCCTGCCTGCCGCCGCTTCCCTGCTTTTGCACCCACCAACTTGCCACTGCTCCTCCCACCCGCTATCTGCATGCTGCCACCTGCCGCTGCTTCCCTGCTTCCCACCACACCCCCTGCCACTTCTTGCCGGCCACTGTGGCTCCAGCCCACCCTGGCCAGCACCGAGCAGTTCCCAGCTGCGTGGGCTGATAGTGGCGGGCCCCCCTGCCTCCATCCCATCTTATCTTACTTTCCACTCGGACAGAGGAAGGGCGGGGAACAGCCAAAGGGTTGACAGGCCAGAAGCTGCAGAGGCTTCTGGTTGGGGGCTGGGAGGAAGGTGGGTGGAGCCAGGCAGGGTGCTGGGTACTGCTGCTGGCTCCTCCTAGGTCCTGCTGCCACTGGCACCTTGTCATCTTTGACAGGCAGCCATGTGCAGATAACAATTAATTTTCTAAATTTTTTGGGGCCCCCATGGGCTGGATAGAATGGCCTGGCAGGCTGGATCTGACCTGCAGGTCATGCTTTGCCTGCTCCTGCTTTAAGATGACACTTTTTGCTGGACAGCACCAGAGTAAATATGAAGAATGGGACTTCTATATTATTTTATTGAGTAAGGTGGTATTTTAAAAACCAAAAAAGATTACATCTCTGTATTCTATGGGAAATATCTCAGCCTAAAATAAAAAACTCTCTGTGATTAATTGGAAAATAATTGAACCTTCCTTCATATGTTCCAATGCTTGCTTTTTTCAGTGTCACTTAATTGATTGCAAGGGCTTAATGAATGATAGGTAGGTGTTGCAAGTACTAAGGCTGTGTAAAGCTTCGGGTGCTGATTCAATTTGGAGGAGATTCAGCCCGATTCAGTGGCTGAATCTCCAAATCTGAATTGAATCAGGTGACCAAGAAGAAGGTCTGAATCAATTCAAAGCTCTCCGAATCAATTTGGAAAAGATTCGGAAAGCTTCAATGATTTGGGCAGCCCCTGCCTGCTGCAGCAGGGAGCTGGACCTGGACTCAGCGCTAGTAAGTAGGGGGCGGGGGAGGGGGGAAGGGACCATGGGGAGACCCCTGCCAGGCCCCACCCCAGCTCCCAGTGCTTTAAGAAAAAGCCCCTACTCATGGGGTGCTGCTTGGTGGGGGGGGTGATCCCTGCAGCCTCCCCACTACACCATGCTGCATAGGGGGGCTCTGCTATTAGCCCCCCATCTGCCCCAGCTCTGTCCCTTTAAGAAACCCCCTCCCAAACCCCGAACTCACCAGCTCCTGCAGTGGCCTCGGGGCTTGCGGGGCTCATGCAGAGCCCCTTGGGCGGGACAGCCATTGCTGGGGCTGGCAAAGCAGGCGGGGGATGGGCCTGCATGATTTGGGAATTGAGCAGAATTGATTAGGGACAGTTATTCGAATCGCTGTCCCCTGAATCGGCCAAATCCAAAATCTGAAGTGAATACTAGACACTTCACACAGGCTCGGTGAGTTCTGTGTGTTTGATAGCATTGTTGGTTGTAGCCATGTTGGTCTAACCACATCGGCAGGCAAAGTTCTTTGGATAGATGTGATACCTTTTTATTAGACCAACTAAGCTGGAAAAAAGTTCTTTGCAAGCTTTAGGCACAAACACCCTTTTTCAGGTATAGGGAAACTGCACTAATTGAAATGACAGATGGATATTAATATTTGTTTTCACAGTCCCCACACCCCCAGTTGCTTAAAACCATCTATAGCCATAAAGATTTTAATGCTTGTTAAATGGAACCTAATCAGTGAGACTGATCCACGCCCCCCGCCCCCCCCCTCCCCCCCTCTGACTGGTGCCTTCTGAACCTGGGAGGGCACCGGCAGAAGTCGGCAGCAGGGCTGGGGTTGGCGAGCACCCATAGAAGCTAGCGGTAGGGAGGGCTGTCAGGGGGGCATGTGCCTCACCCTGTGCTCACCCTACCAGTCGCCTATGCCCCCAACCCCCACCCCCCCGAAAACTTATCTTTGTGGTCCACGGGTAATCATTTCTTTGTAGCTTCCTCTGGAAACCTCATTGTATTCCAGAAGTTAATGCCCCCTCACTCCTGCAACACACTTATTTTCACCGGGGGAAGAAACATTTCCTGAAGCAGAGGAAGGTAACGAATCTACATTTTACCCAAATGCTCCCTAGATTAGGCGAAAAAGTGAGCCTGAGATATCTATAAATAAAACCTAGGATTGTGCATGTGTATTTTGTTAATTTATTCAAACATGGAATTTATATTTTTCTTCAGTATTCATTATTGGAAATGGGCTGTTTTAAATGCAGCTAGCTCTAGGCTGGAATACAGCTTTTGGGTAACACGGTATAGCATTAATACACAAATGCAGAGAGCTGAAATGGAAGTGTATAATATCCAGTAGCAACTGCAGTAGGATTTAGATAACCTCCATGTTCTGGGCACAGGTAATTACCTTCTGCTTAACTCCCTTACTCCTACAGTAACTGCCAGGGGAACTTTAATGATAACAGGTTGTCAGGACCTCAGTTTTATACATCATCTAAATACATAGAGTGCAAAAGGAATTTAATTCGGGCATCACAATTAAGGAAACAATTATCTTGCATGTCTTGGGCTGATCTCCAGGTCATCTTACCATTTTTTTTTTATTTTTTTTATTGCATTGTAAATTTAAAATATGAAAGAAATTGACTGTTCTTTCTATAGAAAAGGTCAGGCTGCCAACCCCCTCCCTCCAGAAGCAGGGATATATCTAATGGGATGATCTCAAGGACAAGTACAACTTTTGTAAGTCAATCGTTGCCAGCCCATTTCTTC